ATATATATACACACACACACACATATACATACATACACACACACATATACATATATAAATAAATAAATATATGTGTATGTATATATATATACACACACACACTCACACATATCTGTGCAACAACAGACTTGACTATGACTAAGGCAACAAGACATATTCATCAACACCAAACAAAACTAATCAAATAGCAATGTAAAACGCCCTCGGTTATATAAGAGCAGCTCATGCAGCCTATAAAAGGCTTGCGCTGAACCTGACATGTGTCATAGCTGAGAACAAGCTTGCTCCTGTGGCTAAGTTGCTTGTCAAAGGGGAGGGAGCTGGAGACTGGCTACTAATCAGGGCCCTCCCTCCGTTAACCACTTCGACGACGGCAAACCAATCCCTACACAAGCAACAATGGCTCTTCTTGTTAAGACCGTGCAGGCTGAGTGGAAAGCAAGTCGACGAGCACCACATATCTACTGAATCTTACGCGAATTGCAGTCAGAAAATGCGATGGACATCAGTCTACTTTTTTTCAGCATTTCAGTTTTGAAAGAACTCCCAAATGTTGCTCCGAGAACACGTCTAGCCCCCGGAGCTGTCCGAGGACGAAAGGCAAACCACAACCCGTCCACCATATTGCCAATCCCGACTGTTAGTGCTTCGCAAGACCACTTCGCTTGAGTCATCCTGCAATCTTTATCCACAGATTGCCGAGTACATGATGCGTGCTTTCGGGAAGTCCCTGTGTTTTAATTACCGAAATATCAACACACAGTGCTTCATTAAGTATGTCCACAATCCTCATGCTAACGCAATCTTTATGTATAGATTGCGGTGGGTGTTCGTTCCGTGGAGCAGCCCCTACAAAACAAGTCTGGCAGGCAAAAAGTCCGACTTCATGAGCTGGAATTTGCTTTCTAACAATTATGCCTACGGCAATCTTTATGAATAGATTGCTTATGGTTATTTTACGAATTTACTCAGTATTTAGTTTTATTTGTACAACTCGTCCATTCCGTCTCACACACAAAGAAACGGAGCCTTGTGCCTCCGTCTACTTTCCTGTGTGAGCTCATACTATAACATTGCTTATACCCAAATTATTTGCCAAGAACCAAGCTAATTGACGGTGCCAGCTAACTAGCTAGTTAGCTTATCATCTACAACCATTTTCATTTAATTGATCTCGAATCAATTTAACTTCAAAGTCAACTTACTATTGATACTATAGATCCTCAGCGTCTCGGGTGTAATAGAGTGTGCTTTTCAGGCACTTATATCTCTTATTTCATAAATTTTATATCGTCAACCTTCATGGTTTTAATATCAACTGAAAGAGTTCTTATGGGTGGGGCTGTGATAGCTAAAAGCTAACGTTAGCCTTTCCTTCAGGAACAAACTGGAGGCAAAAATAGTAGTCAAATGTCCATTACTTGAAGAAAAAAATATGAATGTGAGTAGAGTTGTTCAAAGTCCTCGACGCTTCAGTCTTCGGCAAAGCAAATTCATACCTGCAAAACACACAACAAACACACATTTAATTTCAAGTCTTGACAAATTTCGTCGTCCTTCGTAGTTATTCAAGTACTTTGTTGATTTTTGAAGACATACTGTAGTAATTTCACATGTTAGACGGACAAAATCTTGACAATAACACTTCCTGTCTTACTGACATGACTTACCTCTGAACAAATCCAGGAATGAGGTCGAAGAGGACGGACTTGGCTTTTATACTTAGTGACGTTTTTTACGTCACGGCCAATGTTTTTCTCAGTTTTCGCTGTAACAAAATGGTGGACATGTGTCTTTCTCTGCCCAGTGAAGGGCATAATGGCGTATTACACATTTTGGAAACTGTTACATTGAATTGTTCCCCAGATTTTCATTAAAAGTTGAGTGTATTTGCATTATTGATTATGTATTAAAGAACACTAACAAATGGTATTGACGTAATTGGGTTGTAGTCATTATTTTATTTATAAATGTAGTTAATAATATTTCTTAAAAATGGCGATTGGTTTGTCTGTCCTGGTTGGGATGGTCACATGCACCAGTCACCCAGAACGCAACATTTTAACAATCATCTATGACCAACAGAGTAAAAAAAATACAAATTGTTGTTTTACACACAATATAAAGCAATTGGTATTGTTAAAATTTTGAAATAAAATAAAATAAAATAAAACGATATTTACTGAATTATCGCTTGAACTTTTACCTTTCACCTTCACCCCCACTGAATGAAAATGGCGGCCTCCTTCCAAGGCATCGTTAAGGTTTTGTGCCGTGTGTCGCCTTCAATTTCGCATCCATTACGACAGTATCAGGTATTTCTTGTAACTATGCTGTGATATACACATTACCCGATTAATTTATGTGTGAGTAGTTTGTTCTGAGAAGTCAGATGAAACACAGTATCCGAGAGTACAATGAGATGTCGTGTAACCTTACGGTAAAAATTACCCTTGCGCTAAACTTGATTAAATTAGAAAATGACAACTTCTCGGCAATAATTCGCGCTGTATAGAACACAGGAAACTGTATTCTGACGGCTCAGCGTTACATTTCTTACCCTCCCAGCAGCACGGCATTCAAAGACCAGTGGTTCAGAGCATTTCGGCAGTTTTAAAGTTAGGCCAAACATTATAGGGAGCCAAGTGCGTTTCATGTTGACCGACTCATATACATCCATGTAGTAATGGGTCTCATGCATCCGTCACATTTGGCTGAAGGTGTTGGGGATGAGGTGATGATACAGTGGTGAGATGATTTTCTTTTGCATCCAGTCCTGTCTGCAGAGGCTCCCTGTGAGATCATGCCCCACTCTCTCTCCATTCGGACTTCCAAGTCACTTTTTCTGCAAAGCAACATCACTCCAGGATGAAGTTGCTGCTCAGGCTGCCGAGGTTCTCTGCCGTTACAAGGACAGACCCTGGGATTATCTGGAGAGTGAAGGTACCTAAAAGAGTTAAATCTCATTTGTATCCACATACTTGGTTTTACTTATATTCCTTTCTCCTGACAGAGTACATTGAGAGATATGGAACCAATTCAGTATGGGTGGGGTATAGGAGGAACCACAAAGGAGGCATCCCCCCACAGAAGACACGCAAGACCTGCATTGTAATATTTCTCTTTTAATCCATCTTTCATCAGTTCCTTGCATCACATCTGTCATGTAAAGTGACATTAACACTGATTCTGTCTCTGTAGAGAGGTGACAAGATATGTGGAAACCCCTGTCCGGTTTGTCGGGATCCAAACATTATCATCCACTATCAGGTGAGTGAGGGTCCTAAGGACAGAGGGATGTCGTATGCTGTAAAGCCCTGTGAGGCAAATTGTGATTTGTGATATTGGGCTTTATAAATAAAATTGATTGATTGAATTGATTGAGTTAGTGTCTCAGTCACACTTATGGTCATTGAGTTACGCTACACTGTAGTGTTCTGTTAGACATCAGTCATCAGTCTTTTGCCTCTGAGACTTTTATTGTAACCAAGCACTATGGCTGCTCATGTCACTAATTTGTTTGTTTTTTTAAAAAAAAGGAATACATGCTTGATTGTCCACAATATTTGAACCTGGAGCATCTTGCTGCATAAATGGACTGGGTATTATAGGTAACAGCCCAAGTTCAGACGAGGAGGAAGGTCTGATATTATTTTCTAGGGATGCATGATATGGGATTTTTTGCCGATATCCAATATGCTGATATATAACAACTAATTCAAATGAAACATCTACTGATACCAGTATATCCATTTTTTTTCTCTACCTAAGTTTAGTGATCTTCAAGCCTCTTCCGTAGTGGAATTAACATCATATTTTGCATGGATACTCTTATCATGATGGCCCACCAGCAGATGGAGACATGAAATAGAATGCTTTTCAATGTATGTAATAGTCATACATCGTGCAAAATAAGAAAAAGCATATTGGCTGATTGTGATAGTTCATTTTAAAGCAAATATTGGCCAATACCGATAATGTTGGCCAATTCTGATAGTTTATTTTAAAACCAATATCAGTCAATGCCAATAACGTGCTGACATTATCATGCATCCCTGCTGGGGGATTGGTGGGATTTGGTTGAATCCTCACTCAACCATGGTACACTACACGTGCAGCCTCACAATTCTATCACAGAGCACCACCTTGACAGAGCCTCAGATAATAATTTGCAGAATGCTCCATTTCAGTGCGATATCCTCTGCAGTTCAAACAGGATTTGTACATCCTTGTGGCTGTGGCTTCATTGTTCTTCTGAGCTGATGAGACACATTTCTATTCAAAAATCAGTGAGAAAGATAGTCAAATTTTTTATCATACTGTGCTTCTGTAAAGTTGTTTCAGTATAAAAAAAAAGAGGATACTAGAGTACAATGGGTAGAATGTGCTTTAAATACAAGGACCACAAGAAAAATGGTTTAGGAATTCAAGTAAAATCTGGGTCACAGCATTTTGTCAAAATCCGTGGGCATCAGCCATCCAATGTAAATCACAATAATCAGACTGATCTAGTCTAGACTAATCTAGACTGATTAAACTGATAAAACTCTAAATTCCAAAGGTAAAATATCTGAGAAGTATACACCAGCCATATTACTTTTGTCATAAACACACATAACAAGCTCTATTTTTATAAGGATCCTAAAATGTGGTTATTAAAGAATTGTGATCTTGATATTCACTGAGTGGGACATTTTACAGTGTAAAATTAAAATACTGACCATGAAAGCATTGTTTCTAAATGACCTCATATTTCGTGTTACTCATCATCAGTACAATGAATGTTAAGTTAGTTGGCAGTAGTTTCTTTCAGAACTGCACCAAGTAATGTTCAAGGACAAAATTAAAACAAAGTTTCATTAGTGGTTTCAAACAAATCAAATGAAGTTGCAGCTGGATGGTATGAATAATAAAAATGTATATTTACTCTTTGTGTAATGAAACAACAGGCAGCAGTTTCTTCATTGTAAACTAATAAACAAAAGATGCAAAGTGAGAGGTTTCATTTTAATAGTCATGTTAGTAAAAACTACCGCAAGCTTCACTTGGTGTTACAGGTTCTAAAAGGAACCATGAATATTATAGCCAGCGAACAACATGAGCCTGTTTCACAATTAACTGTGTATTTTGTAAGATTATTCGAATTGGCAGGTTAATAATAAGCAGAAGGCTAACACTAGGTTAACAGCAGATCTGCAGTTATATCTGAATCATGCCATCACAATGTAAAAAAAACCCCCAAAAACAGAAAAACCTAACTACATTTTTGTTAATTTTCTAAAACCACTGACGAGGAGCTGATTCCAACAAGCACGTCCCCACTGTGTTTAGTGTCCCCTGGAAAAAGTTTCCACTGGCTTGGTGTGCTACTTGCAGGGCTTTTCTGCACAATTTTCTCTATCTAGTTGAGTTTTCTTTATTTGCTACCTATTCTAGATGGTGATGTGTTGTCAAGTTGATGTTTTTTAAAATTGTGTTTTGCTTATTTGTATATTTTCTCTATTTGAAGTGTTGAGCTCTCAGGGCCACAGTAATATTGGCAGTAAAGAATTAGCTGTTGTGGTATCAAAATCACATCATCAGGGCACAGTTCCATATAACATGTATAGCTTTATGTTGTGACATTGTGCAGTTCAACTGATTACCTCATTTCCTCTATGATGGTATGCCAACCCAAATGCATCTTCTCCTGCAGAATGTGAAACTGTTGCAGCAGTTCATTAGTCCCCACAGTGGAATGGTGTATGATCCCACTCTGACTGGTGAGTCAATATGTCACCAAAGTGAGCACATGTATTGATGCATAAGGGTCTTCTAGTCCACTATCAGATGGCTCATGTTGTGTTGGTTGTACTATCTGCAGGTGTGTGTATGAAACAGCAGAAGAAGCTTCATGAGACCATCAACACAGCAAGAGATCATGGTACGTAACACCAAACAACACTTCAGATTATGAGGATAAAAGGACTTCCAAAGGGCTGGGGAAACTTGTTGCATCAGAATGGGGAAGAAAGGTGACTTCTGTGACGTTAAACATGGCATGGTTGTTGGTGCCAGACAGACTGGTCTGAGAATTTCAGAAACTGCTGATCTACTGGGATTTTCACATACAACCATTCCTAAGGTTTACAGAGGATGGTGCGAAAAAGAGAAAATATCCAGTGAGCGACAGTTTTCTGGGCCAAAATTCCTTGTTGATGTCAGAGGTCAGAGGAGAATGGCCAGACTGGATGATAGACAGGCATCAGTAACTCAAATAACCAGTCGTTACAACCAAGGTATGCAGATGACCATCTCTGAACAAACAACACATTAAACCTTGAAGCAGATGGGCTATAGCAGCAGAAGACCACACAGGGTGCCACCTCAGTTAGCTAAGAACAGGAAACTGAGGCTACAATTCACACAGGCTCACCAAAATTGGACAATAGAAGATTGAAAAAAACGTTGCCTGGTCTGATGAGTCTTGATTCTGCAGCGACATTCAGATGGTTGGGTCAGAATTTGGCATAAGCAACATGAAAGCATGGATTCATCCTGCCTTGTATCAACGGTTTATGCTGGTGGTTTACTGGTGTGGGGGATATTTTCTTGGCACACTTTGGGCCCCTTAGTACCAACTGAGCATTTAAACACAGCCTACCTACCTGAGTATTGTTGCAGACTGTATCCATTCCTTTATGACCACAGTGTACCCATCTTCTGATGGCTACTTCCAGCAGGATAACACGCCATGTCACATGGCATACTTACAGGTACCCTCAGTAAATGTGACTCTGGATTGCCACCTAGTGGCAGCAGAAAAGTACAATTTCCCATGTCCCCTGTACAACCCAGTATTTTTCAAAAGCTAATCCTAAATTAGGTTTTGTCTTTCAGTCCTGCTACATGTTATATTAGGACTAAGGCTGCATTTTAATAGGAATTTGTTAAAAGTTACAAAGTATCTTCATCTCAAATTAGTTCACAGCTGCCTCAGGTGAGATGGATCGAGGAGTAAAAGATAGAAACTGATCTGGCAAATTTTCAAATCCAGTAGGGCTGCACGATTGATTGTTAAAAGATCACACTCTTGATTCATAAATGCAATCTCATTTCTGAAGGATAGCCATTGTGCCATATTTGCTTTGGAGAATTGCATATTTAGAATGAGTGCTCATAATTTGTCCCAGCTGCAGCACGCACAATTGCACTTCTAGGCTGACAGTCTTCCTGAACCTGCCACTTTGCTAACAATTAACCAATCAAATTAGCCATAAACTATCTGTGAGGTCAGGCCATAGATGACCAAAACAAAAATGTGATTCTCATTTATCAAGAATTGTGCAGCCCTAAAATACAGTAGACTGTTTTTAAGACCTCAGCAGCCATTGGGGTAATGGGAGTGACTAGTATTAATTTGCAACACTTGTGGATGTCCTGCCACTATATTCATTTTATGCAAAGGCCCAGTAAAATACTGCTGATAGAAATTAGGATTATCACCTTAAATTTAGCCTTTTTGCTTTGTGGTATTGCAACTTCAATATGGGGATGTGATTCAGAGGTGTGGAAATCATATGACTTGGGACTCAAATCTCGATTTGAGTCACAGATTTGATCTCTTTAACTTTCACGTCTGTCCGTCCTGGAAGAGGGATCCCTCCTCAGTTGCTCTTCCTGAGGTTTCTACCGTTTTTTTTCCCCCGTTAAAGGGTTTTTTTTTTGTGGGGAGTTTTCCTTATCCGCTGTGAGGGTCCAAAGGACAGAGGGATGTCGTATGCTGTAAAGCCCTGTGAGGCAAATTGTGATTTGTGATATTGGGCTTTATAAATAAAATTGAATTGAATTGATACTTGCATACTTGCAAATGACTTGTGACTTCACTGGGACTTCAGCCTTTGGACAAGAAAGTATTTGATACCTTTCCTCAAGCCCAAAGATTGAAAAGTTATTAAGTGTGCTGCAAATCCTTGTTATTTCCTTCATATCCTGCACTGTTTCCCTGTGTGTAATTAGCACAGCAGCACTCTGCCACTGCTAAATGATGAGCGCTGCTGCAGTATTTAAAAATCTCCCGGTATGCAATCAACTTGCCCTCTCTACTTAAGCAGCCAGAGCAGGTGATGAGTGAGGGTTATAAATTGAACACCTGTAGATAAGGGTACTGATCGATTGGCCAACGTTCAATCTCAACAGTTTGAAGGATGATCATAAGAGCTGACCAGATATTGCCAAACACCAAGCATAATTTCTCTGCACGCTGCTAAAATAACTTCCCTGGTTTGGGGGTTCTGACAAATTGAAGCTCACACTTCTCAGTGTTGGGATAACGTGCTACTTTTGTAATTTATTACGTAATATATTGCGTTTTAGCAGTAACAAAGTAATATAATGCGTTACCAATAGGATTTTGGATATTACATTTACATTGTCTCGTAATGTGTTCATCCACATTGAGCCATACTGCTGCACCTCCACCAGTGTGCCAACAGAAAAAATATCATCCAAAGGTGGTTGTGTGTTGTCATGTCATTACAGACGACATTATAGAAGGGTGCCAATAATTGGCACGTTTTTTCCCAAATACAGGATTACTTTACAGCAAGACAGGCCAGAAACACAAAAATTCATTCTGTTATGGTTAATAGTGCTTCATGCTTTGAAAGTGCGATGTCAGCACTACTTTTTTATGATAAATTTCAGCTGCACTTGTTGTAATGAACATGTTTCAACAGATAAATACAAATTTTTAAAAGCATTCATGATATTTGTAATTTATTATTTACTCTTAAAATGGCATGACATTTGGTCAAGAGTGCATTATTACTTGTTTAGGACTCAAAACTCTGTTTACTGGGACTTGCAAAACAACGACTTGGTCGCACCTCTGATGTAAATACTACATATGCAGCTTTTGAGTCGGATGCTTTGTAAATGTAATATCATTTAGATGCAGTTTTGAAATTGTTTGCATTTATAGATATTATAATCTCAAGTGTGCCCTGTTGTGAGAGTGGAAAACCCTGTTGGAGCACTGACTCATTGAAAAGCCAGTGGTGAAGCAGCTTGTTGGAGTGGGGCACAGCAGGTTCTGCGGGTTAGGTGAACTGAAGGAATTTCTCTGTGATGTCATCAGATGATTAAAGTGATTATTTTAATAACGGAACCAGTCAGGCATCAATTCCAACACCCTGTCCTCTCTTTCAGGCTTACTCCCCTTTCAGATTCCATATGTGGAATTTTCAGGGGAGGATTACTCCAATACCCATGATGCTGTGGGGTCCACACCACCTCCTCATTCCTTAACCTCGGGTGACACCTGGTATAAATGGTACAGTGAAATAACACCTGATGAGACTGAAGTGGCCAAGGTGAAGAAGACATACAAGGCTTACTTAAAGTGATGGAGACTCCAGAGGCAGTTCATTTGGTGATATCGTTGTGATGTTGCTGCCCGTAATTCAATAACTGTCTGGTTTGCTATACATATGTACATCTACTGGACCATGTGAATTTCATATCCTTCTGGTATGTAAATAAACTGCACAATAGAAACATGGAGAAAAAATTGTTTAATTTTATTGTTTAGCTTTTGTAGATCTTGAGCAGACACATTTTTACCTCCTATATTTATAGAAATCAACAGTAGGAACCACCCTCCAGGATCTGTCCAACTTCATGCTGTTACAGATGTTCTAGACCAAAAGATAGGGAAAACATAGCCCCAACAAAGCCAACCTTTTACTTAGCAATGTTTAATAGAGAGAAAAGCCAACTGGGCCCAGATGGAGTGTATGTAGCATACGACGGAGGGACACGGTGTAGCACACGACGGAGGGACACGGTGTAGCACAGCATTGTGTCCTGACAGTGGCTGTGTGATCAAGGGTTGACCTTGTTGACCACTGTCTCTCCCAGGGACTCCAGCACCTCCCGCTTGTAATCGTCAAAGTCTCCATCAATCTGGTTGATAGTACAGTCCTCCACCACCCACAGCTGGCACTGAGTCTCTGTGATGAGCCGGGCGTCGTGACTCACAATGATCACAGCTGGACAAGAGGGGAGAGCTTGTTAGTGCTGTAATACAGGGCCAAGCAGTACACTTATGTGTTGATCATTTAAATGTAGTCTTAGCTGTTGGGAGTGTCTCTCTTCAGGCATCACTCACTGACTATCTGTAATGTCCATCTCTAGAGTGTTTACACACTCTAACATGGAGCCCCATCAGTACATTTTAGGACAAAATCATACCCATTCAGCTGATTACAGATAGTGTGATTCAGTCAGTAAAATTCTTGGTACATGGCTCCATTCATCTTCCCTTTGATCATTTGGATTCTGCTGGTACCATGAAAAGAGAAACAGCCCCATACCATGATGCTCCGTCCTCCAAACTACACTGAAGTTGTGGAACTTTTAAGGTCATATGCAGAGCCATTGCTCCTCCAAACACAGCACGTCATACTTTTTGAAGAAAGGTTAGATTTGTGTCTCCTCTGATCACACTAATGTTCTCCTAATCTACAGGCTTCTCCAAATGTTGTGGAACAAGCTTTTGGGCAAAAATATGGTGCACCATGTTTGGAGGAGAAATGGCTCTGCATATAACTCAAAAATACCACACCTACTATGTAGTTTGAAGGTGGCAGCATCATGGTATGGGGTTGTTTCTCTTATCATTGCACCAGCAGAATCCAAATTTCTTGAAAAGAATCTGTCCACCAGAACGGTGAGGATGAGACAGGTGGATCTTTCAGCAGGACAAAGATCCAAAACATACTACAAAGAAGACTCAGATGGTTTCAGAGGAAGAAAATAAAGGTGCTGGAACGTCCTAGTCAATCACCAGACTGAAATCTAATGTAACATTTGTGGAAGAAGCTGAAGATCAAGACTCACCAACTGGTCCCTCAATCTTCTGGATTTAAAGACTGTCTGTGTGGATGAATGGACCTAAGTATCATCTAAACCATGTGACAGACTGATTTCTTCATACACGAAGCATATTTAAAGCTGGTGCTACAGACAAAAGCTCTCCACCAATTCTTAAATACGTTTCATTTGGTGTGTTCAATACTTTTTCCCTGTGTTATTCCACTTTATTGTACATAACTTATTTTGGATTGAAATGTTACAATTTTTTTGCCTGTATAGTTTTATTGAGTTAATCAATGATGGGTGTAAACTTCATGTGAATAGCTGCACTAGAAATAGGGGTAGGGGATATGGCCCTAAAATAATATCACGATATTTCAGGGTCTTTTTGCAATAACCATATTCTTGACAATATGACAAATTAGTTATAAAGATATTTTATTATTAATTAAAGAACATAGAATTGCAACAAAATAAGTGATATAATTTTACATGTCAACCTAACAGTTTGCCTTCAAATATTCTGTAAAAACCTAACAAAAATGATCTCTCATTTCTTTAGTCTGTGAACAACAACCGAAACTCAGCGTGAGATTCAGATTCTGTATAGCGTATTATTAGTCCAACTAAAAATCCACCACAAATGACACATTTAAACAGTTCCCAAACACAAAAAACGTACCCTGAGATCTTAATATATAAATGAACAGGTAATTTCCTTCCCTTTTAGCAAAATCCTAAATGACTGAGTTGGTTTTTTTTTCCACCATGTCCTTTATGCTTTGCCATTTCTCCTCTAATCATCACGCTGTAACCCATGACAGGCTGTTAGGCTATCAGAACTATCGCACTTTCACATATAAGTAGTTTTTGTCAAGCCACAAGTATTGCATAGATTTACATTCCCAAAGGTTTATGCCAAAATCACTTGACACCGACTCCCGTGTGCGCATGGCGAGAGGAGAGGGAGAGATGCTGTGCTGCTGCCAGAGGAGCTGCTGAATGAGTTCCCTCTGAGTGGTAAGTCACTTGAAGAGTCTGAGAAGTCCAAGGCTGTTCATAAAACATTCAGGACGCAACAGTTTCTTCCAGGCTCTGAATTCAAGAGCCTATACTTGTGACCAAACATTCAAACTTCTTACAATTAAACTAGAACAGCATCCATAGCAAAGAATGTCCCAGGAAGTTCTGTTACATTTTGATGTGGCAGAACCATTCCACATATTCTTCTTCCTTTTCAAAACATGGCTCCTACATTACCCACAATGCAACTTGACAGCCAACAGTTAGGTGTAAGATTGGGGTGTGTCAAGCTATTAGTGGCTAATGTAGTCTTTAGTCTCACCTGACCACAGGGTTCAAATGTCAGGAAAGCAATACAGAAAGAAGAGGTGGCTGTCTCGACCTTAATGTTGGGCAGGTTCTTCTGTGTTCAGTATTTGTTGCTTTCTGAAGTCAAATTATGACACAGAGGTGCCAACAGCAAGTCTCTTGATTATAGCGGAGAGTTTCTTTATGTGTGCAGCAATGTGTTTGACAGCTCTTCGGAAAGTTTGCTTGAGTTTTTACTCCATCCAGCTTTTGTTATGAGATAATTCACATAAAATTGTTTAGATGCACACATGGTGTGGATCCTTTCAAGAACAGCTCAGTACTTAGTGTGTGCGTATTGAAGCATTAGTGACGCACGGACTAACTGGCTTTGTGTTTCAATGTTGCATATTAACTTTTGAAAATATCCTCCAACATTAATTTTTTTTCAACCACTAATTTGTAAAATTAGGTCGGCCTACACAACAATTTTAGAACAAGCTCCTCTGCTCAAAACATTAAGGAAACACTGAATCATCACAGTATAACACCAAGTCTGTTAAACTTAAGGGATATCAATCTGTCCATTTAGGAAGCACAGGTATGAATCAGTTTCACCTGCATTGGTGCAAATGAAATTGACAACAGGGGCAATGGAGAGGCAAAAGCAAGAAAACAACCCAAAAAGGGAATGGTTTTACACGTGGTGGCCTCAGACAGTTGCTATCTCCTTATTGTTTCAAACTGATTCTTCTCTAGTTTTGTGTTCTGCTAGTGTCCTTGTCACTACTGGTAGCATGAGGCGGTACCTGCAACCCAATCGGGTTGCACAGGTAGTCCAGCTCCTCCAGGATGTAGTGTTGTCATGGTACCAAAATTGGGACCCACTGTTCTATACCATTGAAATTATCATGGTTCTGAGTAGTATCACTATATCACAGCAAAAATTAGGCAGATGTGCCTTTTGTCATTTATAAAAAGATAAATCACTTTTCTATAATACATCAATGATATTTCAATGGAATAAATTACCTATTGACTTATTCATAATTCAAAAACAGCATCAATAAGTGATTAACATAGGGGGGATCAAAATAAAATAAATAAATAAAATAAAAATCAACCAGCCAACCTCCTCCTCTGATAAGTTAAGAACAGTTCCTTCAGTGTGGTGAGGTTTGTGGACCGTTACCTGCCACAAAGAGAGAAATGTGAACGTCTCGTTTCTCTTCTGACACATCACATACCTGTGTGCCGCCACGGCTCAGCTGTTCAGGTACTTATGACACCAACAAAGAGGAAATTATTGGACCTGGAGCCAGGCTTCTCGGTCGCCGGTAAACCGCGTTATCTTGCAGTGGCCGTAATGCTCCGCCGTATTCCTCTCTGTGACCCCCGTTAACCCAAAACTGGCAGGATTCGCCTTTCGTTTCTGCTGTTGGTTGAAATCTGTACTCGCACAGCGTGCTCCTGGATGATTTCTTTTGCTCGCACAAAACTATTTTTAGTCGCAAATGCAAGTAAAATGTTTGCACCGTAAAGCTCTGAGGAAAACAAATCACTGTAGCATATATAAACAAATCTAGCCTACAAGTAAAAAGAAATAAATAATAACTTTCACTGCTTAAAGATACTCAATAGCTCAGCTAATACCTGAAATGTCACTGGAAAACAAACCATTGCAGCAGCATACTGAGTGCCAGGTTGCCAGCGCGTGCCATTATTGGACGGCGCAGGGACACTCACCCTCTTGCGATTGGACTTTGAACTTATCCCGGTACCGTAGTCACAAGGTTTGCTGTTTCATCTTGCAAAGTCTCAAAATCATGAAGGAATTACCAGGAGACCAGCCTTTACACGAGGAGGGCTGGACAGGGCCGTAGAAAGGCATCAACCCAGCAGCAGGACCAGTATCTGCTCCTTTGTGTGAGGAAGAACAGGAGGAGCACTACCAGAGCCCTACAAAATGACCTCCAGCAGGCTACTGGTGTGCATATTTCTGACCAAACCGTCAGAAACAGATTTCATGAGGGTGGCACGAGGGTTGGACGTCCTGTAGTGGGACCTGTGCTCATGGCCCAGCACTGTGAAGCTTGATTGGCATTGGCCAGAAAACACCGGAACTGGCAGGTCCGCCACCGGCACTCCATTCTCTTCACAGATGACAGCAGGTTCACACTGAGCACATGTTACAGGTGCGAAAGAGTCTGGAGATGCCGTGGTGAACATTATGCTGCCTGTAACATCATCCAGCATGTTTGGTTTGGTGGTGGGTCAGCAATGGTCTGGCGAGGCATATTCTTGAAGGGTCGCACAGACCTCCCATGTCATGGCCAACGGTACCCTAACTGCTGTCAAGTAGTGGGGATGAAATC